TATATACAGTATATATATATAACCGTATCTGAACACCTCCAGTTTTTACAGTGTGCAAGGCTACTTGCGCGCGCACGCACACACACACACACACACACAGACACACACACACCTAAAGGCTACCAGGTGTGTACTGGCCATCGGGAGTACCTGGACATTCTCCGAAGCGAGAAGCGAGAGACCTCATCCATATTAGGCGCTGTTTTTACATTACAACACATGCGAAACTGCAAAAAGCAAATACTCCAAAAGTGTGAAGTGGCGCTACCCGATCATCCGCCAGCAGCACGCAAAAGCGGAGCGGGGTCAGTCACCCGCACAGCGCTGGTGAACGCGTGCTGCTTCCGTCACGATGTGATAAACAGCGCAAGTCTCTTGAATCATTCAGATGTGACACAGAACTGTGTTATACAGTCGTATGATGAGAGAACATGGAAGGTTCTGTAGTGATTGTGAGTGCTTGCAGTGGGAAAAAAGAAGATAAATTAAAATTGAACGTTTGGAGTTGGGATCAGTGAAGCATTTGACCGAACTTTCCGTGTTTTAACTGCCATCTACAGGAAACACGACAGTACTGTCTGAGTGCACGCGAGGATGGGGTAGTCTCCACTCCAGCCGGGTGGGTCAGAACTGGGCGCAACACTGATACGCAGCCCCCCCTTCTTATTTATTTATTCACAGTGTATGTATACTGCCACAAACAATCAATCAATCAATAATTAAATAAACGTTTTCAATACAAATAAGTACAAGTCAAGCTGCGATACCAAACAGGACCACAGGGAGACGCCAAAGATCACTAAAGCTCCTGCCTTGACCTGACTACTATTATACGGATCCATTCAGAATCACTAAATCATGACCACCGCATAATCTAAAACACTTTTAGCCAGCACCCATTATAAAACACTTTTGCCAAATACACGCTAAAAAAACAATAATTTACTGACATCTGGACGTAAGTCACCATTCTCTCTGACATCTCTGATGAAATTGGCCGTGTTTTCTCTGCATTAGCACTGTTTGAACTTACTGTTTGAATTTGCTTAATGGATCCTTGGACTTTCCGGGAGTTTACAGGTTTAAAATGATGTGATCAAAAACCTGCTTCTTTTCATTTTTAAGGTATTGTTTTAGTTATAATGTACTGATTCAAATTAGTAATCAATAATTAATTATTATTCTACTACTCTGCGCTCCCCCCGACCTGGTCTCTCACCCCACACACTGAAAACCCCTGCGGTAGACCGGCTCCGCTTGCATTCATTCACGTGATTTGTCGAGATGAGAGGTAACGGTGCCCCCTCCTGGGTAGTGTGCAGTGGTGGCTGGTGCTAAAAATTTTGGGGGTTTTGCAAACAAACAGAATCACACTGTTAATGCAGGCAGCAGGACTGAATGCAATTGTTAAATAACCATTTAAAAAGTGACATAATAATGTATCATTATAAGATAGCACATATCATATACATACCACATATCATAATAAGATCATAGATCATAATAAGATACCACGTATCAGTGAATTTGAGTTTAATGTGGGTGTATTATCAGTAAAGTAAGTAATCATTAAACGTGTAATCATTGAAATAAATAAATAAAAAATCAGCCATTTATATTAATGTGATTCAGAGATGAAGGCCATAATACTAATGTTGTCCACATGAGGGGGCCACAGGATATCAAATCCTATAAGATCTCAGTTTAAAGACTGTGAAAATTGTTCAATAAATTGACTTGTAGTAAAAAAAATGGCATATAAATTCATTATATTTTCATAAAGTTTAATAAAGCCCAATATAATAAGTATGCAAAAACTGCGATCTCCTAAATACTTGTAGACCATTATTTTTATTTTTTATTTTAATGGTATTGACAACATATTTGTCAAGCTGTCAGACATGACTGAATATATGTCCAATTGAAGAATGGGCACTATATTATTTATCTATTTTAATATTGAGCATACAGTAATACTCCCATAAAGACTCATATTTTACTTGAAAAGAGACATGTCCATTAGAAAACTATATCATCTACACAAGCCATTGTGCTTGGACCACGATGATCGCCTCAAGTTAAACTGCATTGTTTCAGTACCTTCTGTGTCGTTGTCCACAATGCTTCGGTAACAGGTCTTTGAAATAACAAACAGTGAAAACAATAAAAGGCATGACTTACATCACATCCAGCTAGCCAACTCCGTCCAAGCTCCATGATCCGTATTTTTTTCTTCTTCTTCTTCTTCTTCTTCTTCTCCTTCTTCTTCTTCATTTAAATGCCTTGTTAAAGGATTTTTTTGTAACGATAAAATCGAATTTACTTTCATCTCGGAAGAGATATCCAATCACATGAGGCCAAAATATATAAAAACAATACTAATTCGCTAAAATCAAAAGTGGGAAGGTCTGGGGCGCAGTGCTCTGCGCCCCGAGGACAATCTGAGACATGCCAATTAGAGCTCAGCCTCAAGTCACATGCATTTAAAAAGTTTACGGACCTAATAGACACCCATCTGTACGGCGCCCCCCATACACAAAACAAACGAAATAGAGTTTAGATTTTTTTATTTTTAATAGGTGCTAACATGACTGTCAGTCGAATATTATGACTAAATAATGCAATTTTGTGATTATTTTTTAATATTTAACTTATTTTTAACATGTTGAAATAGGCTTCTTCCCTGGCTAACTTGGAGGGGGCGGCGCCCCCTATTGACCAGCCGCCACACGATGCTGGCTGAAAACAGCCACGACAATGTAAACTGCATGAAACGGTAAACTGGAAAACGCCAATACATATTACAAGCTTGTCAATTCAGCACCATAGTAATTTACTAGAAGAAATTAAAACTGAAAACAAGTTGCTAAATTGTCAAGCTAAATCCTATGTCATGTCATTGAGAAATTGCGAGGCTGAAGAGGTTATTTTGAGGAACAGATAGTGAAATTGAGAAAATAAAATTTCAAAGTCTGAAACAGAGATGGAAACATTTAGATGTTTGTATGAAGGGACAGCTAGACAGTTGGTAAATGTTCAATCCAATTCTGAATATGAGGAGAAGAACTGCAAGGAAGCCATTAGTCGACATAATTCCTCAGAT